TAATCATTCATCCATCCACCAATCCACCCATTCATTTATCCATCCATCCATCTATCCATCCATCCATCAGACCTTAGAGATAACCGGCAAAATCCGCCCCCTACTTGGACAGAACAACAAGAACACCTCCCTGGATGGCCAGTTGGCCCTTTTTGCCCTCTGCTGCCCCTTTGGGCCCCTGCCCCTTTCAGACATGCCCCCGAGAGATTACACGTTTAAAAGCAAGCACAAGATGGACATGTCTCCCATCACCATGGATCCAAGGTTCGACCGCAACGTGTTCCGAGTGTTCAGTTTCAAATGAAATCTAAAATACAATAGGAAATGGTTAATCTGGGTTAGGGTTAGGGTTAGGGTCGATCCTCTTTTGACCTTAGAAATAACCAAAAAAATCTGGTTAATCCTCTACTTTCAAATGATTTTCAAATTGAGATCACGTCCTTCTTACCAACTCTCTAGAAATAGACAGGACCGAGTCTGGAGACAGCAGAGTTCGACACGACTTAGTCATATTTGATCGCGAAATAGATTTTCAAATTATTCTCCAAAGCTACCGCCTGCAATGTACAATACAGTCTCACTTAAATCCGGCAGAATTTTTAGTCTCAATTCGTTTACAGATGGGTTCTCCCATTCATCAACTGCAAACAACTTAAGACCGAAAATTCGGTAAAATTTATGTGAGAATATGGTTTTTTTTACACAATTTCAGTTGAAACGGCAGACAACTTTTTCAGCTGCCACATTTTTGGTCCAATTAAACAGAATTTTATAACCCCAATAAGCGGTTTTTTTGATTTGCGAAATATAATTTGATTTTGTTACAAAAAGATTTGGTTCTAAGTTGCGGATGGTACTATTAACCGGTGGGCAGTCAAATAAATCGGCTTCTATTATGTTTAATAATAATAAATATAGTATAAAGAATAGCAAATTAATAATACTGATCTCGACAGCTATAATAATAAAAATAATAATAATTATAATAATAATTAATAAATAATTAATTTTCCCGGTAGAGGCAGACTGGTGTTCGAGTTTTCGGACGAGGAGTTATCGCAAATGGGCGGGTACGACCTCGTGCACCCGGATGACCTCAACTACCACGCTGCTGCCCACCTGGAATGTTCGTATTGGCTGGCTGGCTGGCTGGCTCGTGGTGGTGATGGTGGGGATGATTGACGTGTTCGAGAGGAAGATGATCGTGGGGGTGATGGAGATGAGGATGACGTAATTATCTCAATAACAATTAAAAAAAGCAACTCACACACACATCCACCTGACGGCAGTGATCAAGACGGGAAGTTCGGGACTGATAGCCTACCGCCTGATGACGAAAGAGATAAAGTGGGTGTGGCTACAGACGAGTTCAAAGGTCATATACAAAAACAGCAAGCCCGACTTTATCCTCTGCATACACAGACACCTCACGTAAGTTCACCCACCTTTCCAGTTCGACCTTGAAACATTTCGAACCAACCCGTTCAGCTACTTTGTTTAAAAATATTAAATAATAATATTACAATTATTTCTCATTTTTTTTAATTTACAATTTTGATTAGTCCTCTCGTTGAATCTTTGCTGCAGCAAATCAAATCCTCCATTCAAACACTGAAATTTTTGAACACGCAGTGAAGACGAAGGCATGGACCTGGTGAAGAAGCGTGGCTGCGAGTTCAAACTGCCCTATCCAATCATCGACGCAGACCCCAACGATCTGACCTTGTCCTTCAACAACAGCAGCAACAACAACAACACGTCATCACCTCACAGCAACAACAACAACATCAGTAACAACATTTTATTGAGCAAATGTTCCAACAACAACATCGCCAACAACAACAACCACGCCTCTTCAACGAATGGAGTCATCAATTCTGTCAGCAAAGCCTCACCAAAGTACAAAAAGACAAAAAACAACAACAACAACAATTCTCTGCTGACAATCTCAACAACATTCAACAACAACAACAACAACAAAAAGCAGAAGAAACTGCAACAGCAGCAATCGAAAGCCGAGTTGATATACGGTCCCGGTTGCAGTTTGGCAGGCATGTTTGGTCTGGGCACTTGCAATCTTTACAGCAACAACAGCAGCAACATCAGCTGCAACAACGGCATGAACGGCAGCAGCAACATCAACTGCTACAACTACTACGACAATTTCTACAAAGCGCAAACGTATTCTTTGAAATCAGAATTAACCCACCAGCAACATCACCAGCAACAACAACACCAACAACAACAACTTCTTCAGCAACAACACCACCAGGATCCTCAACAACAACTGCAACAGTATTGCAGCAGCAGGTTTGATCCAACGCTCTTCTACAGGGAGTACCAGTCCTTCTACTCGTCCCTACACGTCAGTGAGGTTGCCCTCAGAACCAGGTATGAAAAATACTACGACTTGCAGCAACAACAACAACAGCAACAACAACAAAACGATCAACACTTCTCATCAACAACACCTCTCAACAGCGGCAGCAGTTACTACACTGAACTGTTGGCACAGCAGCAACGACAACATCACTTCTACTACCAGCAGCAGCAACAACAGCACAACTCAACTGACTACAACTACATTGGCGTCTACCAGAGCAAGTCGTCACCAGCTTCATCGACGACAACAGCCACAACTACACTACCCAACGTAGAAAACAGCGGCAACAATTACTGCAGCAACAACACCAACAACAACAAACACATGTATGGCAGCAACAGTTACAACAACAAAACAACAAACGATAGCTCAACTGCAGTTTCAAAGTTCGTGAACATATTTGCCAACAGCCACCCGGCATACAACAACTATTACAACAGCAAAAGCACTACGAACCACAACAACGATAACAACGACAACGCCGATGATGATGAAGAAGACGAAGACAACAACAACAACAAAACTGCAAAATCGTATTTCGAATTCAACAACACTTTCGAAAATGCATTGCCCAGTTGCGTGTTTGCTAATTCCCACTTTCAACATCACAACAACAACAACAACAACAACATTAATAGCAACAACATTCACTACTATTATCAAAACAACTTCAACAAATTATTAAGCGCTCCAAACACGTTTTACAGCAACAGCAGCAGCAACAATAACAACTCGACAATGATCACAACAACAACAACAACATCAACAACAACAAAGTACGATCAAAAAACGCTAAATAGCGAAGGTACCGATGAAAAATCGTCGCCATTGTCGACGTCATCGTCGGTTGATGAATACACCGGAAGTGACGAGTGGGTGCGTCCGTATCACGTGAGCGTCGTTAAGCAAAATTATAAAAACAACGAACAGGAAGAAAACAACAACAAACTTAACAACAACATCAACAACAACATCAACAACAACAACAATAGCATCAACAACAACATCAACAACAACCACAACAACATCAACAACGACAGCAACAACAGCAACAACATCAACAAAATACATGGAGTTGCTACATCAGTAATTCAGTTGTCTTGCAAGAAAAAGTAACAGAGCAATATGATATTGTTATTTTGTGATTCGATTTTATTCACTCATTTATTCATTTATAAATAACATTAATGATACAAATTAATTAGAAATTAGCTAATTAAAATGTTGAAAATAAAAAAAAACAGAGTCATCAACAACAGCAACAACAAACCCAGCAACAACAACAATGTTGACAACATAGACAACAAAACTTCAACAACGAGTTTTAATTCTTGGCTGCGTTCAGACGTAGCCAACGAAAGAAGAACTGGCGATGAAAGCGATGAAAAAGAAAACAACAACAATAACAACAACAACAGCAACAACAACAACAATAATAATAACAATAATAATATAAATAATAGCACAAGTGTAAATGGTGCATGTAATGAAAATAATCAAAATAGATCATGTTAGTATTTGAGTCAGGGTTGTTAGCGTCCAAGTACCGATACTGTATTGAGACATTATCGAAACAGTATCGGTACGATCTTGATACAGAATCTGTACAGGATCGATAGAGTATCGGTACGACATCGGCGATACTTCTTCGGTATTTCGGACAGTACCCGATACCGCCGATATTTCTTAAGTAGTAAAAAAAACCGATAGGATATATTATTTTGATATATATGATATTTTTATTAATGGCAATCATTTAAATTTTCAAAGTTTAGAGCAGTTTCTAACTGGTGAAATTGATACAAAATTAAGTTTTTTCCAAGCCAATTAGTATAGTTTGATTCCTGTGGTTAATACAAAGCAAAAATCTCAAAAAAATATGTAACTTGTAAAACTGAATACAAAAATTCCAATTTAATAAACGAAACCACGGACTTTGAAATGTTTAAACTGTTGTTGGCGTCTAAACTTCGCTTGGCTCGTTGTAAAAATATTTTCCTTGCAATGTCACAGACGCACGTGGGGATTGTTGGCGATACAAAGTTTCAGTATTGTTAACAACCCTGATTTGTAAAACACTATTATTATTATGTTGTTGTTGTTGTTGCTGTCGTTGTTGTCAATGTTGTTGATGTTGTTGTTGATGTTGTTGATGTTGATGTTGTTGTTGTTGTTGATGTTGCTAATGATAACAAAAATCTTTTACTGTAGGTTATTTCTCATCAGAATCCTGGTGATCAGATTTTATTTTTGAACCACCATCATCATCATCATCGTCGTCGTCATAAACCACAACAAAAACAACATCGTCATCTGTTAACCTTTAACCGTTACGACGGCAAAGATGATGGCGATGTTGAAGATGATAAAGAAGAAGATGATAATGATAATGTAATTGAGTTAGATTTTTTCTAGAAAGTTCTAAATTAATCAACAATTTGAAGTTGAAAGATGGGTTGATTGAATGATTGAATGTATAAATAGATAGATAAATGGATAGATGGATGAATGAATGGATAGATGGATGAATGAATGGACGAATAAATGGATGAATTGATAGATGGATAGATGGATGAATGGATAGATGAATGGATCATATAACTTTCCTCAATTGAAAAATTCATTTGACATTTTTACAAACTAAAAATTCTCCCAAATATTAATAATTGTTATTTATGAAAATTTAATTATTCTTAAAATTAATCATGATAATATTTATAATAAAAATATTAATTGAATTATCATATTAAGCTGTATGTCATCAAATTTAAAGGTCATAAAATAAATTTTGAAAGATTTTTATTGTCACTGAACTTCGTGAGTTGCTGGCTATCAAAAGGTTTCATTGCTAGCAGTACAAACAACCCCAACAACACACGATCATTCATTATTTAAAATTTTCTTTATTAAAGGCGCAATATAAATGTTTATAATTAATAAATAAAATCTACATATATATGTGCTTGTATGTTTAACACTTCAATGCTCTCTTTTTTTCTCTCTCTCTCTCTCTCTCCCTCTCTTTAACCTATTAACCTACTGTAACAATTAATGACCTAGTGTAAAACAATTAAAAACTCATTGCACGCAAGCTTATTCAGAAATGCAAATAAATCAAATAAATTTATGCCTCTAGCGATGTTTCCGACCATCTTGCCAATTTAGTGCAACTTCAGAAGAATGTTGGAAGATGTCAAATGGTGAACAGTCGACGCCTTCAAACCTACCTCACAAAATACACCACTGGATGAATCAACAAAGGAAAGATGTGGGGGAAATGTTTATTAAAACTTTTAACTTTTGGTTTTCGTCAAATATCAAATATGAATAATTACGTAGCACGGCACGGAACACCGATGAAACCAGAAAAAATTCACGAAGACGAAAAGCAAATAATATGCAAACAACTTAACGAACCCAACAGAAGAAAATGTTTTACTTTCAATAACCACCGTAAATTAAATGATCATTTAGCAGAATTAGCTCTTTTAGAATTCAACTTAAATAATAAATTGATGGCACTAAGAATTCTGTGAAGAACATTTGAACCTCTCCGCAGTCACAATCAACGTTTCGGTGGCATTGGATATAAACGTATTCCGTAGTTGGTTGCACTAGTTAAAAATACATTTCACCATGGACCACTTTTCTCTGGGGGGTGGGAAGGATGTCTCTGTCTTAGAAGTCAGTCAGCGCAGTAGCAGTGCTAGGTATCTCGACCATTAACCCATCGCACCAACATTCGGTCTTCTATTCCCCTATTTCAACTTTTCGATGAATGAACTCTCAAAACATAATGTTCAGACTTATTTTTAGATGCCGTTTAAGTTTAAATCGACAAAATGAAAAATTTTCAAATTATTTAAAATAAAACATTCACTATTTTACTGTTGAAGTTATATCAACGACAGACAATAAATTAAATTTTTAGACCATTTGGGCGTATTGGAAATATTTCTTAACTCTTCGTTTTACCGCTTAATTATTATAAACCTGGTAAGTTGAATTTATTGATAGCGATAATTAGTTTTCGTTTCACATGATCTACTTGGCGGGCTTCCTCCTAGCTCTTAACCTCGCTTTTAAATTTCTCTTCGGCCGAGTAGTTTTTTTACCGGCTCTGCCTTTCAATTTGTTTTTCTTTTTAGGTAAACTTTTCTTTCTCTTCTTTTTAGCTCCAGGTTTAGCTTTTTCTTTATCCTGTTTTTCTTCTTCCTCATCATCAAAACCATCATCTTCTTCAGCTTTTTCAACTTTCTCCGCTGTCTTGTCCACAGTCTCATCTTTTTTTTCAGGATCAGTATTTGTAGTATTATTTTCAAAGTTGACATTTTTTTGTTTTTCGTTGCTGAGCTCCGGCACCGTCTGAGGTTCGGTTCCATCAGCAACTTTTTTCTCCTCCGGTGCAACTTGTTGAACTGCTGGAGGAGTTTCCGTTTCCGTTTTCTTTTTGTCATTTTTTCTTTTTTCTTTCTTAGAACCCTTTCTGCAACAGCAGAAGCAAGCGATGACAGCGCCAAAGGCGAGAAGTGCTAAAAAGATGTACAGAGGGACAAGTTGGCCGCCAGGTGCTGGCGTCGTGCTCCCTGTCCACCTCCTCCTGAAACTTGGGGAAAAAATTGACGGAAAATCCACGTTGTCTTCATACTGCCTGCGAACACGGCTGACGTGCCTTTGCAGACTGTGATTGGGTTTTCTCGCTGTTTTCAGCGGTGAAGCATCCGATCTTTCATCTCTCATTCTCTTCCCCTTCCCGGTTTCTGTCGCATTCGTTGAATTGGAAATGATTGGAAGAATGTTACTCTTATTTATTTGTTCCTTAACGAAACTACTGTTAGAATGTATTTCAAAATGATTGACGAAATGATTTGTTTCGTTGGAGGTGTTGTTAGAAAAATATTTATCATTTTTCGGATGCAATAAGTAAAATAATAGAATAAAAATCTGTCCAAAATTGAATGATTTATTAGCGGACGTTAATGAAAATTTATCGTGCATGTTCTGCGGCTGGTTGCTGATGTTTGACAGATTCATGGATGTCGTTATGTTACTTCTGAAAAAATCCCGCTCCGAAACATGATGCAATGCCCGTTAAAATTTCGTAGCTCATCTCAGAAGGACCTCATGCCTCAACTTCGACAAAAGACGACTGCTAGCTAGGCATGTTAGAAATTATCTTTACATTTTGACTCATAATAAATTGTTGTTGTTGTTTATTTACATAGAAGCTTATTAGGGACTACTAATTCTTTGCGTCGCCCCGACAAATATTACGGGACGTTAATTCTGGACACCAGCGAAAAAAATGTTCGGTTTTTCTGTTATTGTGCGGATAAAATGTCGTTTCAAAATTTAAGAAAGATCACACAGCTTGATGGTGTTTATTTGCAACATTTAAAATGATATAATATGTAATAATATTCAACAGTCTAATTTTTGTTGGAAGCAAGCAATAGTTCCATGGCATCTTCACCATTAACTACTTTTTATTTTCCACTTTTCCTCGAGGCTTTCGCGGTTTTGTTGTTGTTTCCGTGTTGTCCTCTCTTACGTTTGTGATGAGTTTTGTTTCGCTTTGCAGCAGCAGTAGTGGCTCGCCTGCCAGCGTCATTACCAACCTTTGCTTTACTATTTTCTGCCTTGTCATTACCAACCTTTGCTTTATTTTTTTCTGCCTTGTCTTTTTTTCCTTTTTTGTGATCATTTTCCCTTCCTCTTCTTCCTTTTTTCTTTCCAGCTTTCTTTCTTGCCACTTTAGCCGCTTGCTTTTCATCTCCTTTCTCTTCTTCATTTTTTTCCTGCTCTGCTTCTCCTTCACCATCTTCTTCCGCACTTTCAATTTTTTCCTTTTTTTCCTCATCATTCGTTTCATCTCCTTCTTCATTGTCTTTTTTTTCATCCACTCCATCCTTCTTCTCTCCGTCCTTCTCCATTTCTTCATTTTGTTTCGGTTCTTCAGTCGCTGGTTCTCTTTTCTTCTTTTTGTAGCAAAACTTCCAAACGAGATAGCCGACGAGACTGCCGATAGCCACCAGGAAGATAAAAGACAAGGCAGAGTTAGGCGGTTGCGGCGTAGTTGATGGCATTCGCGACCTTCTTCGTGATGTTTTTCGTCTGGGTCTTGTGCTCTTTTTTTCATCTTCATCGTCGTCCATTTCCTCTCGCTTCTTGCGAATGTTGATTAATTCATGCAATCGATTTGGTTTCTCATGACGTTTAAACCTGATGTAAAACTCCTCATCATGGGTAATTTTTTCAACATTTTGAAATTTCGTTATCTTTTCGATCCTAAATTTTATAACATTATCATTATTTGATTTAATTTTTCTTCGAAAAGGCCGATAGATACGTGTTGCAATGTATTGCAAACGTGTTGCAAACGATTTTGAGATATTTTTTCCGATTTTATGTGTGATCCTAGAAAGTATTCTGTTGGCGTGGGGCGTGTGTGAATTGTAACGATATGTGAACTGCGCGCTCCATTTCATTTTCTTTTTAAATTTCCACGGGTGTATTTTGGATTGTTTCAAAGGTAATCGTTTGTTGTGGAAATGTGCACTTGGTAGTGTACTACAACTCTTTGGTCTCATAAAATTCTTGAATCGAGTAGATTTATAGTTGAACTTTGCAGTTTTATTTATTTTTGTTTTTCTAGTTATAAATTTTTTGTTCGAGAGATATATCATTCTTTTATTGAAATTATTTTTAAAACTTTTAAAGGTGTTGTTCAAATACGTACTGGAGTTCTTCTCAAATTTAAAGAAAGCGCTGTCCTGCTGCATGTTACGATGTTTTGAAATGTTTACAAGAAGAAGAAGAAAATAACGGAAGGGCAACAAATTGTTATTGTTTGAGGGAAAGTTCAAGTTGGAAGCAGGATGAGTGTGATTTGTTCGCAGAAATGGTAAAATTCCATTACACATTTCTCACACATCTTTCCTTTATGTAATGTTTCCTATCGCAGCATATTCCATTGTTTGAAAGCATCAATTTCAAGTTACAAGCATATTGTAGATGTTGTTTTGTTTTGAATTTATTTATTTACTTGTTTACATAGGCAAAGAAATTTAACAACTGATGTTTATGTACAATATTTATCTAAAAGTAGCAGTTAGCAAACATTATGGGCGAAGGTACAAGATGTATAATTTTAGGCACTCATTTCATTACAACACAGTAAAAAAAGACGTTTGCTAGCTCTTACTAACTTCTTTTTTGTGTTTTATTATTATACAAAAATTGAAATTTTTTTCAAATGTTTGAGTTCTAGCATTTCTGTTTTTGAAAAAATAATCTAAGTTTATTGAGGAAACGGCGAGGCCCGGCAAGAAACCCTCCAGGGGGTGGCGCCAGAGGTGGTGCCATGGCGAAAGGATCGCATGGAAGAGGAGGAGAGAGAGGAGGATTTTCACATTCTTTTTTATGACGAAAATTGAATATGGTGGGCAATTTTCGCCAAGGTTTCCCTTTGAATCTTCCCAGGTTAAAAGCCGGCTGATGAAAATTTATAAACTTTATTCGAGGCCAGCGAATAATGCGTTTGTGAAAAAATACCTTCGCCGGTTTGCCTGGTCTAACAGGTTGTTGTTGCTTCTCTCGTCCACCATTATCACATTTCATTATAGCCATCACAGGTTTTTCACAGCAATGTTTTTTGTGAACGGTCTTCGCACATTTTTTTTCTTTCATTTTTTTACTGCAACAAAAATACCATAGTAAAAATCCAGCAATACAAGCAAGAATAAGAAGTGGAAAAAACCACGAAGCCCCTAATATGGCTGGAAATGCAGTTGTCGACGAAATGGAAGAAATATGTTGCCGGGCTGTTGTTATTATTGTTTTATTATCACAATCACTAGATGCTATTTGGCAGCCACCGATTGGTTGATCTGGTACTTTATTTTGCTGTCCAGTTTGTCCTCCTTGCCCTGGATGCCCTCCCTGTCCAGGAACTCCTCCCCGACCGGCAGCTCCACCTTGACCTGGAAAACCTCCTTGACCAGAAACTCCACCCCCTCGACCTGGTGCTCCTCCTCGACCTGGAAATCCTCCTTGACCTGGAAATCCACCTCCTTGACCCGGAAATCCTCCTTGACCCGGAAATCCTCCTTGACCCGGAAATCCTCCTCGACCCGGAAATCCTCCTTGACCTGGAAATCCTCCTTGACCCGGAAATCCACCTCTTTGACCTGGAAATCCTCCTTGACCTGGATATCCTCCTTGACCCGGATATCCTCCTTGACCCGGATATCTTCTTTGACCTGGATATCCTCTTTGAGCAGTTCCACCTCTTTGCCAGGGTCCTCTAGCTCTGGGTCTTTGAGGATTTCTGTCGTAGTGGTAGTCATCATAATTGCCACGACCTCTGCGACGTCCTCCTTTATTTTGCCCACGTCTATCTTTGTAATCATCTCCATAGTCGTATTTATAACTATTTCCAGTGTCTTCTTGATTGTTTTCACTGGACGGATAATCATCGTATGTGCCAGCATCATATCCCGCACCATATGGTGGTTTTGTTTTTCCTGGAGAAACTGTCTGGGTAATACCTGGTTGAAGTCTTTCTTTTGGTGAAACATTTGGTCTATTTGGTGTGACATTTGGTTTTGATGGTGAAACTTTTGGTATCCGTGATGGAACGTTAGGTTTTCCTGGTGAAACCTTTGGTTTTCGTGATGGCACATTAGGCTTTCCTGATGGAGCATTCGGTTTATTTGGTGAAACATTAGGCTTTCCTGATGGGGCATTCGGTTTATTTGGTGGAACGTTAGGTTTTCCTGACGGAGCATTCGGTTTATTTGGTGGGACATTTGGCTTTTTTGGTGGGGCATTTGGTTTATTTGGTGGGACATTTGGCTTTCCTGGTGGGGCATTTGGTTTTCGTGGTGGAACGTTAGGTTTTCCTGGCGGGGCATTCGGTTTATTTGGTGGGACATTTGGCTTTCCTGGTGGGGCATTTGGTTTTTGTGGAGGAACGTTAGGTTTTCCTGGCGGGGCATTCGGTTTATTTGGTGGGACGTTAGGCTTTCCTCGTGGGGCATTTGGTTTATTTGGTGGGACATTTGGCTTTCCTGGTGGGACATTTGGTTTATTTGGTGGAACGTTAGGCTTTCCTCGTGGAGCATTTGGTTTCCGTGGTGGAACGTTAGGTTTCCGCGGAGGAAAATTTGGTTTTCGTGGTGGGACATTTGGTTTCTTTGGTTGAGCTTTTGGAAACTTAGCTGGCTTAGGTGCGGCAGGAAATTTGGACTTTATTAATCTTTTCGCTCTCAAAATTGGTAAAAAACCGACCAGTGAAGAGAAAAAAGATGATTGGTCGTTATTGGTTAACTTTTTTGTCACACATTTTACGCTAGTGTTGTTTTCAATCAAATCGATTTCTTTAAAACCTATGGTTTCTGTTTTTATATCATTTTTCAACTTGTTAATAGTTTTTTCATCTGTTTCTTCAAAATTGATGTTTCTTAGATATCTGTAATAAATTAATGAAGGAATTTTATGAGCTCTTAGGATATAACCGAAAACATTATTTTGAATGAGCGTTGCTTTGGCAATGTAGATAACGAAATGAAGGAAGTGTTGCAGTTTAAAACGATTGTAATCTCCTTGCAGAAATTTTTGCCCCAAGGTCGACAAACTTGCGGTATCATTTTCAACATTTTCAAAACTATAATCATTTTTTGACTGAAGTTGATGAGGCCTTCTTGTTGATAACTGCAGAGTCCTGAAAAACATTCCAAAATCATTTTCACTTTTTATTGGCGATTAATCAGTTCTAAACAGTGCATAAGTGTTGTTACTATATCATACATATATATGCATTTATATATTTATAAATATATATATATTACAAATTTTTTATAATATATTTCAGTATATATATTGGATTAAGACTGTCAGAAATGCAATTATTGATGAAAATCACAGCATTTTCGGCGTTAGATAGCTTCCAATTTAACTTTTCGACTTTTCTAACGGTTAATCGGTAAATCATTTTCAAGTTTCTTTAGTTCAAAACCAAAATTTTTGTTTGTTTTATGCATGATAGAACAGAAAAGCTTTCTTCGGTGTTCTTTTACCATCTTAGGTGTTCAAATTGATATGCTGTGGTTGTGCCCAGATGCTCAAACATTTTTATACTGTGCCTATTTATTGGTTCCTTGTTTGTTCAAAGTGAATATTTAGTTTTACAATCTTCAACGTCGTAAAATATAACACTTTTACGTGTTTTCATTATCGATGATTCCTCTGTTTCTAAATTTATTGGTAGGAAGAATTCCAATAACCCGTTGTTGAAAATTTTTTATCGGATGTCTTTGTTCTATGAGTATAGTATTGATTCGGCTAGTCGTAAATTATTATGGCTGTTATTGTAATGTAAGATTTAAACACTGTGGTCCAAGATTTGTCTAGTAATTTTAGTTTTCTCTTTCATGTGATTCTTTATAGCGCCAGTTTGTACGTGCATCGTGAGTCTTCTCGATAACTTAGTCGTCGTCGTACCGATATATTCGGAATTATGGTGCCCACACTCACCAATATTACATTTGAACAAATATATTAGATGGCAATGATCCATTATCGATTTTGGTTTAGGGGAAACTAGTGCAGTTGTTTTGTTTTTCATCACAAGAGATGACGTTCTTTGGTTGGAGTAGAATATTCGTAGTTTAATACTACCATTCTCGTTGATTGCTTGGACGTTATATTTTATGATTCTTTTCATAATGTTTTCGTCCTGCTCGAAAGCGGTTGACATATGCTTCTTATAATATATTACTATGTTGTTTTTGTTACTATTGTTGGTTGCATTGTTGTTGTTGTTGCTACTTTTTTGTTCTTTGCGTTCCATTATTTTCTGGATCATGAAATTTTTAAATCCATTATTAATGAGCAGTTTAGTGATTTTATCTAGTTCTGTTCTCCTGCTTTCTATATCAGAGGAGTGCGTGTAGGCTTGGTTTACAAAAGCAGAGATCGTGCTCTCTAGATATGTTTGACAACATTCACTGTTGCCATTGAGACATAAACCTTTGTTTGTTGCTTTGACGTAGACTGAGGTTTTAAATTCATTTTGCACATTTTGTATTAGTACGTCTAGGAATGGTAGTTTGTTGCCAGTTGATTTTTCCATTGTAAGCTCTAATTTAGACGAGTTTAATCGTTGTAGAAATCTTGCTATTTCATCCTCGTCTTCATATGTAACAAATATATCGTCAACTTATCGGCAGTATATATTAGGTTTTAGCTCTGGTTCTTCTTTAAATATCATTTTTTCGATATGTCCAACATAGAAGTTTGCGAAGAGTACTCCCAATGGAGAGCCCATTGCTACACCGTCTATTTGCTGATATAGTGTGTTACCCGGGCCAACGAAAGGCACTTAGGCTGTCGATATTCTTAGTAGCGCAACTAGTCCATCTTTTGGAATTGGTAGTGGTGACTGATTGGAATTGTATATTCTATCTGCTATTATGCTGATTGCGTCCTCTACGCGGACATTTGTAAAGAGTGACTCCACACCCAAAGATGCTATTTTGGTGTTAATAGTTTTGTTTTATTGTAGACAATATATCTATAAATTCCCTACTTGATTCTAAAATCGAAAAGTTAAATTGGAAGTTTGGAAGTTAATTAAAGCCGAACATACTGTGATTTTCATCAATAATATATATATATATATATATATATATCGCTCTTGTATAACTTTATAGCTTTTTACTAAAACATTTGGAATTTTTTATTCTCAGGTATTGTTTTTATTTACAAAACGTACAAAGATACCGTAGTAGCATGCGCGCGTAGTATTCAACATTATGGAACAACAGCTAACAGACCAGTACAATAATAATCCAGTTTAACCTCCATCATAATTTGAACTCACTTTTTATCTTCTAGTTTCTTTCATTTTTTTCTCAATTCGTCAACAAAATCAAAGCCAGGATTATTAAAATATATAAATATTATTACAACTTATAATATAAAAATGAATATGTAAATAATAAAATAATTAAAAACCTCTACAGTGCGATGTCAGTGTTAACAAGAGAGCTGCTTAACAAACTTTAAGATGTGGCAGGCCCTGAGACCCTGCTGTGTATGGCAGGTAGTCATGAGGTGGTATTTTGAAGACTTGAGTTAGAAAAATTAGAAGTTCCAAAATGTTGAAACGATGAAAGGGCAACTCGTCAGTTGGACTTCGCACAATATTTTCAAATTCTATTAGAATGGTTTTTGTTCGCTTGTTCAAATTATGCCAGAGTTCAAGTTTTTGCCTTTTGCCTGTCATTTTTACCCTCTGAATTGGAGTGAGATCATCGTATCAAAGATAAAAATGAAGGGCAATATCAACATGCGTCAATACAAAACTACGGGATAAACAATAACAAAAACAAGTGAAACATCAACATCATCTGGACATGGACTTCACTAACTAACAAAAACACATCTATTTCATCATTTAAAATAACCAAGTTTGAATAAAAAGAACGATTGAATTTGCTGAGAATAAATTTGAAATGAAGTTAACATGAGCGATATCCTGAAAAGAAGCAACAAAGCAAATTCTGTCATCATTCTGCTAAACATTTCATCGACATGCCACCAGCAGAAAAACACTGGACTCTTGAGGGCACGAGCAAAAATAAAATAATCATTGAACATAATTTGAAAAAAAGACGAAGACGACAAAAAATTATGAATAGAAATAAACAGATTCTAACTACATATACCACAAAAGCACCGCATCTATTTAAGCAAAAAATGAAACGAATAAAGCAGATCATGATTAAAATGTGTAAAAAAACAAATTCTTGCAAGAATCGGGGCAGAGAGAAACATGGTAAGAGCAGCACTGATGGCAAAAGCGAACAAGAAATGAACAAGAAAAGCTCCAGAGAGGAAGACGACGAGCGACCGACAGCCACCAAACCCCACATGGTGTCCGTCTCACATCACATCGTCCTCTCTACGTCCATTCGCAAAAAATATCAACTAAATCCCGACAAAAAAATTTCGATGGTAATCGAGGAAGAAGGGAACGAAGGAGCTGGACCGACGATCTTCATGCTCGTCTTCATCGTGGCAGCCATCGTCGGAGGCTACATCGCCTACAAAAAGTTCTGCAACAAAAGTAACGAGGCTGGGACAACGGATGTCAAAAAATCCCACAAGTCGGCCAACGACGAAACATTAACCAATCAAAGCATCGATAGCGAGGTGTTGAGGCCCGCAAAAAAATTAAAAAAGTTTAAAAAAAGAGGTAAATCAAGAATCAAATTTTCCAAGATGATAGTGCCGAAGAAAAAAAACGAAAAAGAGTACGTTGTGAAGAATTTTGAGCCAGATAAAAAAGGCGTCATGAAGAAAGTTAAATTGAAAGTTAAAAAATGACGAGGCGAAAATAACATTGACGCAAAAAATTTGAAAAATCAGACGTTTGAGTTTCGTTTAAATCATCCGATCTAAACCCACCAAAGAGCCAAATTAGCAGATATTGTTAATTAATAGTTAGATAGTAATATTATATTAATATTATTAGCATTATATCCAACGCGAAGACGTTAAAATTTACGTTAACATTGTTAAGTTCGCACACGAGATGCAAATGGAAAACGAATGATTATCACACCGTAACCATTTCCAAATAAAATTCAAACAATTACATAAAATATTTTTTTACAGAAAATCAAAAAATTAAAGAAAAATAAATGTCAATTAAAATCTCATCAACATCGTCACATTACCATCATCATCCCATTACCATCATCATCACATTACCACCATCATCACATTACCATCATCGCCATCAACAGAGTCAACAACATAGGAACATTAATCTCTAAACAAAAACATTCTCTGGCCCAGTTCCCTACCGATTAACTTCACGTACAACTTCAATCTTTCTTCTTCCTCTGGACGGCCACCAGCTCTCAACCTGACGGTCCGGTAGTCCAAGTAACTCATCAGGGTATTCCTGTACAAAATGCCCACATCAGATATGTCTTCCTCTTCATTCATTTCGCCACCTGCTTATTGGTTGATTAATATTCAGCAAGCACGTTGATTGGATGATTGATATTTATCCAGTATGTTAATTGGTCGATTAATATTCATCTAGCACGATGTAGTATGGTGTAGAATGAAACCCACCCCTGACGCTTGTACACATTGTTTTAGAGGTTCTTAGTTTTAAAAAATGCACCAAACAGCAGCCCACTCGACACAACTTCGAACGTATCTTCTAACATTGTAGTCAATATTTAGACCAGAGTAAATTAAAACAAATTCTCAAATTTTTTATGAAAAATTACATGCCGATTGGTTGATATTCATCTAGCAAGCTCTTCATTGGCTGATTATTTAAATGGTCAGGTAATTTACAAGTTGAAAAAAAAGATAAATATAAGTTTCGCCTACTTTCTGAGGAGTCATCCAATCGCGAGTAAGGGTTGACTTGAATTAGCGGTAGACACTTTTCTATTGGCTGCCAGGAATATTTTTCAGGGCAGAGCAGATATGACGGGCTGTACTGACTCTGGAATATGTTAACATTCCACCATCATCATCAACATCATCATCAACATCATTACACATGAAAGCGGAACAAACCAATGAAGCTAATTCACATTAGCGTAATATTCCAAAATAGATAGCACAGGCAACCAACCGTGTCTCATAATCGAATCGCAGAAAACCGTAGAGATTCGTGATACGTTCAACTTAGTAAATAAGCTTTGAAGCAATTTCGAAATATAAGCACGCATATAAACTAGAATGAATCGGAACTTTTTGTAAAATTTGTCAGAATACAAAGAAAAATAAGTTACGGTGGAATGAAATAGGAGATAAATTTAGAACAAACAACTTCAAAAACGACACCATAGGTGGAGAAAAGTAGAAATGTTTCAAGTCAGCGTTCACGTTTAAGTTCAGTGGTTTAGTTCAATTCCTACGAATAATTTAACGCAACAAAAATAAGAAATAAATTTGTTTAATTCGTAAAATTGAATAAAATAAACTAAGGGCTCGACGAAACGACACTGAATGAAAACTGTGGTTGATATTTAACTGTTAAACATTTGTTTCGATAGCAATTTATTCAGATAGAGTGAGGACCCGAGTTTGATACTTTATCTATGGCCTGCCTTAAAGCCCGCCCCAGCCCTCCTCCCTACTGAAAAATATTAAAGTTAGAATCATAAAAGCTTATGTAGAAACTACTAAAAGTGTTTTGTTGTTCTTTATACTCAGAGAAGAAGTTTGTGCGAAGAAAATTTTTGAGCACAAAAACCCCAAATTTTGCCTTCATTAGCAAGCAATGTAAAACATTAAAATGTCTACCACCAACGCATCACCATCCTCACGGTCGTCACCACCTTGTATCTCATCTTGGGGCAGGAATGAATGTAGAATCCCATGTAATAGGATGAGATGATGTTGTCGTTGTTGTTGTTGCTTGTGAGTGTGTGCAGATGTCTCGTGAAGGCAATCTCCCTGTTGGCGTTATCAAGTAAATGCTTTTGCTTCATTCCTTTAGTTATTCATTCATATGCTCAATGTTTCACTTCCTCACTCCTTCATTCGTTCGTTCACTCTATTATTCATTTTCTTATTTATTCAGTCATCCTTTTGCAGATAAAGATTCAATCATACATTCAATTATCATCCGATAGACTACCCAACCAACCAACCAACCAACCAGCCGACCAACCAACCAACCAACCAACCAGCCGACCAACCAACCAGCCAACCAGCCAAACAACCAACCAACCAGCCAACCAACCAACCTGAGAGCAGCGTATGTACCTAGGGAGAGTGCAGAATATTTTGGGTCGTAGAAGAAATAAACGGACGACAGGCATTTCGTGAGGACATCGACGACCCCAACTGCGACCAACTCGCCATCCAGCCAGTACTGCTGGTGGAAGGAGCCCTGAGGTACCTCAGAGGAAGTAGAAGCAGATGTTGTCTGTGGTACACGGTGTGTGAATTGAAATGATGATGATGGTGGGCTGGGGTGGTGGGGATGATTTTCATCAAATTTCCTCAATTCATCATCTAATTCTCTAACTACGACACGATATGATAATTTTAGCTTCACCGAATCATTTTCACGTTATTATTAAAACAATATCATGAATATTTCTTCGTTCTTCAGTGCTTCCTGCAGACGTTTCAAGTTGTAATCCTAGAAATATCGTGTTTCTTCTTCTTCTTACCGTGCCTACATCACTTTTCAACATATTCTAATCATTTGCAATGTCCTCAAAACTCAACCGTGTATGAAGCAAACATCCCACTTTACAATAAATTAACATCATTCAACAAATCATACAAAATTCCGCTAAATCTGTGCCTTGTTAACTAATTAAAATTCCAAATAGCAATAAACTATTTATTTATTCATTCTGTCTTCTGTATATCCATCAATTCATCCGTCCATCAACTCATCCATCCATTCATCAATTCATCCATCCATTCACCAATCAATCCATCCACCCATTCATCCACCCATTCATCAATTTATCCATCCATTTTACAGGGATGGGTGAGTCGATGAGGAAATTTTTGAAGTTGGCGATGGAACCGTCGTCATCGCTGTGAATGTCTTTCTGATACAAGCGATACACCTCGAATGAAACATCCAGCAATGTTGATGATGACGATATTTTTTTTGACAGAGACTCACTTGGTATGGTTTTAATCTGTAAGTTTTAAAAATAAAATGGAAAATGAACGAATATGGTACCTTATAAGAATTTGTTGTCGTTGCTGGCACTGATGTGGTTGGTGTTGTTGTTGTTGCTGTTGAGGGGAGTAGTGGAGTGTTAATGAGGAATCGGGTGAATTGTTTTGTGGTGGGTTTCGAAGGTGGGTCGTTGTGGATGCATGTTTGGTATTTGTGGTAGACAGCGTGGCATGCTGGAAAGTCTGCTGCTGTAGCCGTGTCGTCGTGTGCGGCCACCATTTTTATCTGTTGCAACATCAACATCAACAACATCAACAACGTCAACATCAACATCAACAACATCAACAAAAATTTTAGGCTGGTTGCAGAGTGTCACACAGCAGCTACATAGGAGAGGAGTGGTTGTTGTGAATCATGTACTTAAGTATGTAAGCGTGTGTGTGTGTGTGTGTGTGTGTGTGTGTGTGTGTGTGTGAATGTGTCATGCCTGTGCTTATAAAAAAGTGAAAATGGAGATAACAACAAACTTCGAATTTGTGGGAAGGTTTCTCAATGATTTCCCCCAAAAAATCTTCCAAGGATTTTGGATGGTTTTTCATCTTTGCAGATTTTTGTTGTTGTTGCTGTTGTTGTTGTTGATCTTGTTGTTGTTGTTGATGATGTTGTTGTCTGTCATTAAAGACCACACTTGTTTCCAACTTTGATCAATGAATTATACTTTACAGAATACATACTTATTCATTACCTTGATCCTCATCTTCATCATCCTCATCTTCATCATCCTCATCATCCTCATCATCATCTTCACCATCATTCAAACCATCATTTATATTAGACGACACGTTAGTTTAACGGTAAACTGCCTGGTTGTCATTGCTACCTCACTGTGATCAGGTTCGACTGCAAAGAGATCCTCGCCTGACACAACTCACCAGAAAACGTTTTTGGCGTAGCTGGATTCTAAGATTCTAAGCTAGAATTCTGCTCGTAATTTTTCTGACCTGCAAAGCACTGATCTACAACATCATCATCGTTATCACCTCCATCATCACCATCATCATCAAAACCACCACCAATCATTTAACCATCACCACCATCATCACCTTCATCTGCTTCCTTTCAACTCTCATCAATTTGGCCTTCTTGCACGGACCCTTTGTTTTATCAGCCCCCACACCTTTTAAACAACAACATCATCATCAACATCATCATCATCATCATCTTGATCGCCATCATCGTCATCATCGTCGTCGTCGTCGTCGTCATCATCATCATAAATAATCCACCTGGTTTTGGATGAGCTGTCATTTTTTGTTGTTTCCTGAAGCCATCTTTAGCATCAGCCTCATCACCACCATCCGGCTTACTGTTCCCACCACCTCCACCACCGTCGGCATTGTTGTCCAACTCCATCTTATCATCACTTGCAACTCTTTCATCTCCTCCACCATCATCATTACTTGCAGATGTGGTGGTAGTAGTAGTGGTGGTAGCAGTCGTGACTTCATTATCAATTTTGTCCACCTGATCACTCTGGAGACCTTGGAAACTAGCATCATCATTACCATCACCTCTTTTCATCTGATGACCTTGAACTTGATGATGATGAGGAGGAGGAGGAGAATGGTGAACATTTTCGTCATCAACCGCATCCTTCTTTTCTTTTGGCAGAATGCCGTAGTTTATAAACCTCCAAGGATGATTTCAAATGTGGGAAAATGTAAAAATAATGACCAGGCTGGCAGCCAGTGCATAATCATGCAAGTCTACGTGCATGTGTGTGCCATTCACAACTCTCAGAAATACAGAAATTATAAATTAAAAAAATTAATGATAAAGAAATGTCTTACTTATTAAAATTTTTTATGATTTTTTTGTGGGACTTGTTCATCTTGAAGTTGACAGCATCGCATTTGATGGTGTACATCTTGCAGCATTGCACTTCCAGCCGCGGTTTGTATATATACTTCCCGCTCCTGGCCGTCAAAGAAATAACAATAATAATAACAATAATAACAATAACAATAATAATAATAACCTCCTCCAGCCTCTGTCAATTAAATCTTGGTAGTCCTGGCACGTCACTTGGTGGCCCCAGATTCCTGCTCAGTTGTTTTATGATGAGAATATTTAATCAAAATTCTATTATGGCCATGATTATATATTTCGGAGTGGCCAGTTGACTTTAATTTGTAACAAAACATCATTTAAGATTTTAATCAAATATAGATTTTTGAGTAAATCTGAATATGGATTTTGTTCTTGTTGTTTTAAACATCAAGCAATAATTATTATAATTATACAAATTTAAAAAAATTTTTAGATGCATAGTCTTTGAGTTTTGGATGGATAGTATTCTATGCAATAGCAGCATGAGTTATGGAACTCCTACCGACTGAGCTAACTAGGTGGCCAAGAGAGAGGATTGAAAAGTTATTTTTATAAATTTTTTAACAATTGTAAGTAGATAGATTAAAACATTAGAATAGATAGATAAGAATTAAATTAAGAGCAATGTTTGTTTAACAACTTAACAGCCTAAAGTTCTGCCAGGATCCATTTATCTATATCTCATTTTGCATTTAAATTGAATTAATAGAAAAAAATAAAATTTTTTAAACAAAGCAAAAAATAAATTATTAATTAACTAGTAAAAAGGCATTAAAAATGACATTTTTAAATTTTAAAAGTTGATTAAATAAAATTAAAGGTTGTAAAAAATAATAAAAAATAACACTGGGTGACATAAACGCCATCTTACGAACACAAAATAATATAGACCGTAAGAGAAATTAGTGTCTGGAGATTTGCAGTACCCACAACTGTGACCACTCTCGTCTGCTCCGAAATATTCAACGATGCTGACGCTACGGTCCGACATTATAAGTTTATTAAATCTTTTGCTGAAAATTTATTAAATTTGTTCGGTGTGCTTCATGGCAGATTTAAAAAGATTTTATGATTAGCTTGAAATTTTAAACATAAATTAAATTGACAGATGAAGTTCATATTGATCAGATGTTTCGTCTATGGAAAACTTGAAGAAAAATAAAAATTAGACTTATTCCTAATGAGTTTAATCAATCAAACAATTAGCTTATAAAGCGCTATTTCCGCGATGTTCATCAGCGCTTTTCAATAAATTTTGCAAACAGATGGGTCTTGAGATCCGCTCTGAACTTTGTAAGTGATGGAGAAGTAGTCAGAGAAGGAGGTAGAGAGTTCCAGAGAAAAGGGCCAGAAAAAGCAAATGCAGATTTAGCAAAAGAGTGTTTAACACGAGTTAAGAAGAAGTGAGAACAAGAAGACGATCGTAAACCCGGGCGTTCAATCAATCAATCAATGATTATGCTTTGTCCATCAGGGGACCGTCGAGGCCGATGGTGTACATCTAAGCATGCTTTTTATTTTCTTTTTCTCTTTCTAAAAACCTTTTCTATATTTGGCCAGTTTTATTAAATTCAGAATTCCATTAAGTAATGTTATCTATCCATTTCTTTGCAGGTCTACCAACTTTTTTCTTCCAATTTCTTTTCCTCATTAGTACCATCTTAATCAATCTGTCTTCTCCCATTATACAAATGTGTTCAAAAAATCCCAATTTTCTTTCTCTGACTTTGTCATAAACACTTTTCTGTTTTCCAAGTTGATTTCTGATGTTTTCGTTCTTTACTTTCTGCCTCCAACTGATTCCCAACAAATTTCGGTAACACTTCATCTCATATGCTTACAATTTGTTTTTGTCTTTTTTCTTTATTGTCCATGTCTCACATGCATAGAGCAAGCTTGGAAAAACGCAAGATTCTATCATTCTCAACTTTGTTTTTATAAATATATTTCCACTTTTCCATATTTCCTTCAATGATGCGAACATTCCATGGACTTTTGCTATCCTTCTGTCAATTTCTTGTGTGCAGTTGTTGTCACAGGTTTCAGGTTTAATTAATATATCTGATAAGTACTTATGAAATAATTTAGATTGAGATTTATGTCAAAATGTGCAAATTTAAAAAATTATTCTATATCTTATATAGGTAACCAGTGCAAAAGAACAAGATATGGAGATATTTGAGAAAAGAAAGGGGCACGAGCAACTAGACTAGCAGCAGAGTTAAAAGCTTTACTTGAAAGATAGAGTATAGAGTCAGGAAGACCATAGTAGAGCGAGTTACAATAATCAATCCTAGATAAGACTAAAGAAGTAACAAGAAGGAGGAAAGTAGGATCGTCAAGAAAAGGCACAAGTTTTTTTTTATTCTACGTAGATGAGTGTTTAGCCATGGTTTAGAATAAATAGGCCCAAATCTTACAAACTGTGTTGTAAAGTATTTAGAGTAGTTAAATACTTGAATAGTATTTAAGAGGTATTTAAATTACTTAATAAAATAGCTGTCTTTAGACCGTATTTAAATACTTTTGCGTGGTATTTGGTATTTGAAAAATTTAATTTCTTTGACATAAAAGTTGCTTTATCAACCATCTATTGTGCTTTTTAAAGTTAACAAACAATTTGGTGTGTTTTAGCATTAATGTCTTTTTTATTTCTAATGCAAACATTTATGAAATTTTCGGCAATGTAATGCGAGTGTATCTAAAATATTACAAGTGAAAAATTTGGTAATTTATGATCCTTTTTAATTAACCTGCAAATATTTTTAGCCAGTATTTAAATACGCGTAGGAGTATTTTAAACACTATTTAAATACCGAATTTTGAATAAGCATTTGCGAAGTAATTAAATACTCAACATTTGAATGCAAATAATCATAGACTGTTGGCAAATAAATAAACATGATTTATTTAATAAAAAACTAAATCGGCTATCAACTTTTTAGAGCCAACTCATATTTTTGTGTCAAATTCACACAAAACGTCACAACAAATAACAACAGAAACAAAAAAAATAATAAAAAAACTCTTGAGTATCAAGGTAAGAGTACCTCGATCTTTCATATTTTCGAAAATTATCTTTTATTGATTTAAGCCCAGGAGTGACAAAAATCACGTCGATAATTGCACTGGTTGCTTTGCAATCCTACTAAAACACTAAACAACTTCTAATGTACCAGCAGTCTCTTAAGACAGAGCACCACATAACATCAACAATAGCATCTTTAGTCAGCACATTATACAAAATATTAGAACGGCACCAGCAACGACATTAACAAAATAATTTTTAAGTGAAATGAGTTGTTGGTTGCATGTCTTTTTATTCATCATTTTCTGCCAGGAGATTTGTATTAGCCCAACCACCTCCACCCCGGTCCAAGCCAAAATTAAACATTACAAAGATAACAGGACCAGCGAGAAAGATCTGGAAGACCAGCTGGTTCCTGGCATGGACTCCATTTTTCCAAAAGTTAATTCCATCAAAGCTTTCATCAGCGTGCTGAACGGACAGCCCGTGTCAGTGACGGTCGTCTGCACAGCCACTGGAAACCCGCCGGTGGACATCACGATATTCATGCCCGATGGGGAGATGAGAATCGAACCGCGCAGCCATCGCAAGTTGGAATTCACTTTAACGCACACCTCCTACGTCAAGTCGTTCAATGATGCGATTGGCGTTTACAAATGCAAGGCCAGGAATAATAATGGAGAGAGTGAGCCGTACGAGACGCTCCTGAAAACTCAGATGACAACTGTGCTTCCGAGTTCCAGGGCAGCCAAATTTAGCTGCATCGGATGTTTTGTCATGCAAACCTTCCCCATCCATGCAACAATCCTCATCTCCCTCTCTCTCTTCCACGTAACAATCATCTCTAACTGATATAAATGTGACACTACTACTAGTAGTGGCAGTCTGGCTGTTTCGGAAATAGTCGGAGATAGAAACCATCTTACGACTCCCCAATCACTAAAATTTTATTTTATTCTTTATTTCTGTGTAAAGACCAGTTTGAAAATTTTTAATTTGTTTCAGAATATTTTATTTTACGTACTTAATCTTGAAATTCTGTATGCTGTCTTTGTTACTTTGCACCTGGACCTCAAACATTCCAAAGTTTTGGAAAGTTTAAAGAAAAAACGCAGACAGCATTATTAAATTAAATAGTATTAGTTTTCATCTTAATTCCACGCTCCAACCTGCTTTTTGACCTATAAGTGAATTGACGTCAAGATCAAAAATTCATCTCTCCCTATGTTCGTCGATGCATGCTAATAACTCTTCATTGATAATCTGCAGTTCTTTGCAGTTTAAACTTCAGAGGAAGTTTTTCCACAAGACGCTAGCATGCAGCAGTAAGGGAGAGTAAGTGTTGAACTTTCCTAAGATAATGAATTATAGAAAATTACTGCGAGGATTTCCATTGGAACTACTTACTTTGTGCAACTTTACTCCTTCCTTCTTCATCTTCCGAACGTGTTGATTCTATTCAACGTCGTCACCATCTTGTTGGAAAAAAAGTTTCTAAACTGACCAGCGATATGCGTTACTTTTGATAAATGAAGAATTTTGATCAACTTTTGTAAGTCTTGAATTTTAAAAGTTCTTTAAGGGTTTTATGGGATGCTTTTTTGAAAAATGACGAAAAATTCATAATTCGTTCAACACAAATTTTTTTTTTAATTTTTAGGAAAAATTGTGAAGGTCAGGGCAGGATCAAACGAAAAACAAAAATATACGCCACAAATGCTCAGAAGATAGATTTCCGATTCGAATCGCTACTGAATGTTCAATAGAACGCAGCTTCCTTTACCTAAAAATGAATCATTAATTATCTTTTAATTGAATTTATTTCTACACATTTATTTGACGAATTCCTAATTTTCTTCAATCTTACTGTCATTAATAAAAATACTAGCAGCTTAATTGTTTTGAAAAAAAAAATATAGAATCACCCGGAATTTAGATGCGAAAGAACCTGCAACTTCGAAATTGTACTAAACCCGTCATGCATTCCCTTTAAATTGCCAATAAAATAATTTAGTCTTCCTCATATTTAGAGTACATTTTACATTTGCCACTAAATAATTTAATTTCTGTTCTCTAAGGCATGGCGACCTTAATGTTGGTTTGAATGGCTGTTTGAACCCGGAAAATGTGAGATAAAATACAGTCAGTGCCGACGATGCCACCACTTCTTCATCAAAAATAAATGTATTAAATCATGATTTTAAATCACTTGAATTCAAATCTCACTCAACACTGGCAATAATAATGTTGAAAATGGTGAGCATGTTACAAGAAAAAATAGAGAATACAAGTGCTTGTAAGTTTTACGGACAAAGTTTAAAGAGGGCATGAATACTTCAATATCTAGCGAAACAGTCGATCGTCATCAAAGTCTTTTGTTGCTTTGTTTTTGTTTATATTATTCCGTGTACATAATCAATATTTTTACACAAAGATAGCCCGATGTTAAGTTAATATATTTCACACAAGTTTATTAATTCAGCTTCACTCGTTTATAAAAAATTAAAAAATATGAGAAACACCTTGTTAATCCACCTGATCATAATTAATATGGAGTGCACGACACCGGCCACAACCACAGACAGCAGGCGTTCATCCACGTGTCGGAGCCACACGTCGCCACCATGCCTTCTCGAATGCTTCTTATCCAGCAGCTGCGAATTGAGGAACTGCAAATTAAATATTTCATCCGACGCCGCATTCAAATCATCATCTTCGTCGTCGTCTTTCTCGCTGACCAGTTACGTCTTTGATTCCGTGTGCGTTCAGAGTTTGAGGCCATTTTTTTTTCAAAACCGAGAGATGAGAAAGCTGGTCTTCATAAATTGTGACCTGGAGGAAAAGCCAGATGTCCATTTGTTGGGTGGCCTGCGTAGGTTGGACTCCCTGGAGATCAGGGGCACTCCAACCTTGGATGTTTTGTGGCAGAACGACGAATTTGTGAGATCTCTCCTCAAATTAGTGCTCGCCAATTTAACTTTGGATGTTAATGGATTAGAAGAAGAAGCCAAGAGTCTTGGAATTATGTTCCAAGTAATTTTACAAATTGTTGCGTTGTTGTTGTTGCATGATATATTTTTTATTTATTTTATCAAAATTCGAACTTTTTTCATTGAATTACGCCACACATTATAAAAATAAACCGAGATGTTTAAATATTAAATCTTATTTCAACAGAATTTCACCTCCCTACAACACTTAACTGTTTATGGATCACCCAAAAATATTTTCTTCTTCAAACACGTAAAATGCAAACAATTAACATTTGTGACCAGTCAATACAAAAGTATAGAAGCGTACCTTAATGAACCGAATTTGCAAGACAACCTCACCTTGCCGCACTTTACAAACGGGACTAACTTGAGATTGAACGTTGAAGAACTTAATAAGTTTGTTAATATGACCTTACTAACTGTTTCATCGTCATCAACATCACCGCCCGAACCAATAACCATAAAAAAGCATGTACGGAAGACCAAACTGTCCAGCTTTCAGGTCGTCATCGCTAACAACTCGCATATCGATAAAAGAGAGACACAGCCTAAAGATAATACTTTAAAGTCAAAAAATGAGAGGAACGTGCAAACGGGTGCCGACGAGAAAATGAATTATGACGATGACGATCAGCCAGTTTACGACACGCGAGTCTTTCCCTACATCAACTGTCTCTTCGTTTTGCTACTCAAGAACAATTCTATTGTGGTCAAGTGTCAGGCCACTGCAGATCCACCGGCTGACATCTACATCACCTTCCCTGACAATCAAAGTCTCCTTCAACCGAGAAGCCACGGCAAAAAGACAATCACCGTCACCCACGTTGAATCAATTGAAAGGGACAAGCCAGTCTCAGGTAAGTACGAGTGCCAAGCTATCAACAACGACGGGAAATCGGAGGTTTTGGAGTTTGTGTTGCAAGCACCAACTGGAACGATGCTGCATTCAACCTTCTCATCATCAGCAGTAGCAGCATTATTAACATCTTTATCATTTCTTTATGATGGTCTTTTAATTTACTTTTCATACGAGGTGTTTTATTTATTGTTTGTTGTACGATAACCTGTCGAATTAGGAAATGTGCCATAGACGCAGTTGTAAAGAAGGGACTGCCTGCTAGGTCTCAAAAAGATTTTCATCTCGAATTTTCATCTCGAATTTTCAGCACGTCACTTTAACATCCGATAAACAATCAATAAAATTTGTAAACAAACAAATAACTCAAAGAAATAAATCAAAACAAACTGAAAAATAAATAAATAGCAGTGAGCAACATGACTTTTTTTATCACCAACCAAATCGATTTTTGTTTAAATGAACTCGCAATCATTAACTTAAATTAACATCACAAATTAATAAAGTTAACTTATTAAATTCTCGCTAGTAAGCAACTCAAGATCAGTTGATCGTTAATTAATTAATTAATTAAAATTAAGAAGTTAACTGGCGGACTGCAAACGACTGCTCTCAAACGATGGTCTTCGGCACAAGTAAAAAAATTTCGTTCATTTTCATCACTCCCAAAAAGATAATCATAATCAAACAATTAAATTCCGTACTATTATTCATTGTAATTTCTTGCAATCAATGCAGAATTTGCAGATAAAATATTCCTTACAAAATATTTTTTTTGTTAAAGAAAGCCAACCGAAACCTTCCAGTGGGAATCAGAAACCTCCAAGTGGAAATCAAGGAGCCCAAGGGGGAGGGGGAAAGGGCAGTCGTTTTAATATATTTGGAAAAAATAAAGTAGATGGTAAAGGAGGAAGGCCAGGTGGTGGTCAAGAAGGGGGGCCAGGAAGTGGTCGAGGAGGTGGTCAAGGAGTGGGGCCAGGAGGTGGTCGAGGAGGAGGGCCAGGAAGTGGTCAAGGAGGAGGTGGTCGAGGGGGGGGGCGAGGAAGTGGTCAAGGAGG